TCTGTGTACAATTCACATAAAACAAAATATTTATCTTTTTAGCGTCTTGATTAGTAGCTGTTTTGCCTTATTTTTATGATCAGCGGGACTTTTAATAGTGCCTTTCTTTTCCGTCTTGCGGTTTCAGAGATGGTAAGGAAGAAGAATCCCCCCATCCGGAGTGTTGGAGGTGAAGAAGAGGAGGAAGAAGAGGGGAAGAAGCCGACGGGAGAGGAAGAAGAGGAAGGAGAGGAGGAGGAGAGAGTGGGAGCCGAGGCCGACCGAATCAACCGACCCTCCGAGCCGGAATCCTCCGAACGAATCCGAGGGGATGAGGATGAGGAGGAGGAGGAGGAAGAGAGTGAGTGCATCCCCTCGTTCGTCTCCCCTTCCTCCGAGTGCGGCGGTGTTGAGGAGCGAGCGGGGAGGACCGGAGGGGCGCGGGCTAAACGGGCCGGAGCGATGTCGGCCGAGGGGCTCGAGAGCCAGTTGGAGCCGGACGACGGGGAGGATGGGGAGCGGAGCTGCGGGGACGGAGGGAATTGCCTCACCCCTCCCCTCGCCACGACCCCCCAGCTTCTTCCCAGACAGGAAGGAAGGGAGGGGCTGGCGAACGACACCCCTCCGCTGTCATTCAGCCCCTCGCCCAAACTCCAGGACTTCAAGTGCAACGTGTGCGGTTACGGTTACTACGGCAATGACCCCGCTGACCTGGTGAAGCACTTTAGGAAGTATCACCTGGGTCTGCACAACCGCACACGGCAGGATGCAGCTCTCGACACACAGATCCTGGCCCTCCATAACATGGCCCCCCAACTCACAAACTTAGGTAACTCCTGCTGTCCTTGTGAAGTGTGCTCTGGACCTTTTATGTGCTCTCTGAAACTTTATAGTTTCATCAGACTTTAATATTAAAGGAGAGCAGTTCAGAATCTCCTCTTGAGCGTTGTGGAAAACAAAAACACTTAAGTCCCATTAGCTCAAACCCAGAAACTTCCTGGGAGGCAATCTGAAAATTTCAAACAAATTTGAAGTGTTCTCCAATAAAATGCCCATCTTCAGAAACATTAAGAGGAAAAGGAAATGGTCCTGAGCTTTTTTATATTTATTTTTATTTGTATTATGGACATTTTTTTTAAATAAACAAAGTAAAAGGTTCACATTATTATGTTTTTTAGAAACTACAAAGCCACTTGCACTGTTTTTATCCTTTCACTCATAAGAAAACTTAAGGTACTTCACTGGTATATATTTACCGTATTTATTCAAGTATAATACATAAAAATAAATCCATAAAATCATCCATAAAGTTGGGGGGTTGTACTATACTTGGATAAATATTTTTACGTATGTATTTTAACTGAAATATCGGCTTCATCCACAAAATTATTGAGTCCGGAAATGAGACCACGTCGTAAAATCAGTTGAAGCAAGCTTACCCCGGACTCCTCCGTACTTCAGAGCGAGATAATAAGAGATCCAGGCAGGCGACATGATGTGAAAAAAAGGGGCAAAAAGTATTCCTGCACCTTAGTAACGATAAGGAACTAATGACATTAGCGTGTGACCGAGCCGCTCCTCGAACAACAACAAACACATGTTCGTCTGTAATGGCTGCCGTCTACCGGTGTTCTGAAAAAGTTTGTATCCCTGAAAAAATGTTTCCCCAGCAGAGGGGGCGCTCGCGAGTAGGAAGTAATCTGCTTTTCCCCCACAAGATGGCCCAAATCTCATGTGAAGTCTCTGACTTTTGTGTTGGCACATCCTGGTGGACTATGTGTAAAATGCCAGAGTTCATATGATGCTGCTACAGCTGATATATATTTGTTGTCAAAATACCTTTTAGTACATATATTGTTAAAATAAAATGAACAGTCCAATGATCTTTTTACTGATATATATAAAGACTGCAAAGGCTGAAAAATCTTGAAGTCTGTATGAAATTGGAGGTAGTTTGAGGATTTAATTTTTTATGCTTTTTAAGCTCAAAAGGGAGGGGGGTCTTATTATACATGAGATCGTATTATACATGAATAAATATGGTACTTTGTCGGTTTGTTTGGGTCACTCAAAACAACAATTTATGGATTGCTGATCACAGGGTTTTCCTTCCTACCAGATGACACTTGTCCTCAGCTTGTTTGACCCTTCTCGGACCGTTCCCACCAGTCTAACCCCTGCTTGTGTTTCTGATGGCAGACATACAGACGGGACAGGGACAGAGGAGTCAAACCAAAGACTTTGGGAAGACGAGGGCCGATGCACAGACTCAGCAGCAAAGGATGGTCATGATGAACGGCACATACGATGTTCAGGTAAGCACTGGACAGAAAGGCTTTAAACATGTTTGTGCTTATGTTATTCATTCATCTCTGTGAACCGAACATCATTTGTGTATGAAAACAAGAAGCAAAATCAACATGTGAGGAAAGCCTAAGCTAAGGCATTGTAGTTTTCAGTATAAAATGCACATCTTGGCTAGATTAAATGTCTAAAGGTTATAACTCTGTTTTTATATGGAGCCATTTCTGTGCCGTTTTTTATCATATAAGACATATGGAGTAGAAGAATGTGTTTAAAGTATGTTTGCATCTGGTTATTATCAAAACTGACATTCAGACTTGGATTGATTTAGTTAACAGCTCAATTTAACTGAATTTGTGAAGTCAGGCTCATACCTGAAGACTAAAATTTATGAGCAAGATCAAGCTGCAGCTGATTTGTTACATTGAGAATATGTGTGTTTTTGAACAGTGAGCATTGTGCAGCGAGTGATAAAATTTAATAGACTGACAGCTGGATTGAAACAGAAAGGCAGGCAGGGCACCTGGCCGACAGGCTTCATATGTGTTCATACAGAGCCCATAGGAGTGCACTGTCTGCTTCCCAAAGCCCCCTCACACATACGTTTTTAACGGCCTTTACTTGCTTCCCTCATTTCTCGGAAAGAACACACCATAGCTTTAAAAAAGTTCTCACTCGCAGCCCGAGCGTCAATCATTCAGAGGTTAAGTCGGTTTGATTTTTGTTGTATTCAGCTGTGTTTAAAATCGGGGTCCTAATCAGTGAAATCAACAGCTGTAGACTTGGTCAGACGAAAAACACATTACCTCCACTCAACGCTGATTTGCTGTTCCAACTAATAATAAACATTAAAAGCATCAGAAAAAAAAAATAAAAACTTTCTAAAATGTCGGCTATGTTTGCCAGAGATGGAGACGTTTTTCTAACCCAGATTACTACTTGTGTGTGCTTCCTATGAATAGCTTTAACAGTCTGAATCAACTTTAGCAGATTTTGAGTTCTTGGAAGTGGAATTTGAAAATGAGTTTTTACACATTCCTGTTGCTTCTAAGATAAAGTAAAAAGCTTTCACAGTTATTAATGTGTTTTTTTTTGTATGTTCTATCTTTAGCTTTTCGCCTCATATCAAGATATTTGTTCAGTGTTCGACCACGTCTTTTTGTAGAATCAGAGTTTGAGCGATTGAGCTCAGTTGATTAATTAGGCCAATTGAAAACATCTGCATTGGCCTACTGCACCAATTAACGGGCAGGCACATCTGTGGGCAGCACTATGTTGTAATCACCCCTTTGTGCCAATCAGTGATTCCTGTGATGAGGTGCTTTATTTCGCACAACACTGGCAGACCCCAATGGAAGTTCAACAGATCATTAGGCTGAATTTCGAGAAAAAAAATATATAACAAAGAAACAAAAATAATAATAAAAGCTTCCAGTTATAATCAATTTGGGTGGATACTTAAAATATTTTAATCTCTGTGTTCTTCCTATAAATGTATTTTATCTTATTTGTCACCTTCATGTTCCATACAATGATGTGATTTGTTCGTTGCGTTTGACCCATCACACATGAGAGACCCCTAAGTGGAGCAGCAGCTAATTAAGTGCCCAGGGAGCAGTTGGGGGTTTGGTGTCTTGCTCTAGGACACCACGACATGTGGGCACGGCAGGGAGTTGAACCTGTGACTTTCTATTCCCAAGTTGGCTGCCCTAACATTGCTCCACTGCAGCCCCTATTTGTGTATTATCTAACGCTGTCAACGTTTGACCAAATTTCTTCCTTTTTATTTTCAGTCTATATTTTGTCATGGTTATAACCCCAAAAAAGGCTGTTTTGATTCGTTTAGCCGATCCTTTATCAAAAAAGCAGAAAGTCTGGGAGAGCTGGTAGTCCTGTAAAAAAAGATAAAAAAAATTCACATGTACACAGTAATCCAAATCATATATGTAGAAACACAGACATGCAACGTTTGAAACAGGAAAATCCAGCGGGCTTAAATTGTCATTGTAAGAAAAAATGAAAGTGTATGTCTTTTAAAAAAAAAGGAATGAAAGGGATCTGTATTCTCTCCATCTCTCACTCAATTTTTCTCTCTCCTGTCCACGTTTGGAAAATTTCATGTTGTAATTTGCTAAGACGCAAATCCCTGTCAACCAATGAGATCCTTAAAAATAAGCTGGAAGAGTGATACGAAAGAAAGGAATGGGTATGAAACAAGAGAAAGAGATGAAGGAGGAAACAGAAGAAGGTACTAAAAGAAGCAGACAGGAAACCTGTAGTTATAATCGACTGTTAGGGATTCTAATGAAACAGCTGTCAGACATATTTAAGTATTTTTTTCCTCTCTTCGTTCTCTTATTACGCTCGTCTTTGTCTCGTCTTCACCCTTTTTCTTTTTGTTTTGCTCAATTTTTACACTGTATTTAATCCGTTTTCCTACAACTTTTAAATTTGATTTTCATTAATTTCACATCTGTCTTCCTCACTTCTTATTGTAGATTTCTACACTTTTCCCTTAGTTGTTCTGTTTGCCTTTTTTCATGTCTCCCCACTCTCATGTTCTCTTTTTTGTCTTTCTGTCACTTCTGCTCAGAGAAATAAATTGAGTTGGGATCTTTACTAATGGGCTACAGGGTGAAGTGATCACAGTGATCACTTTCCCGATACTGTATCGATATTCTAAAGCCCTGTATCGATTTTTTATTAAGGTTTAAAATGTCAACTTTCCTGCCAGCCATTCATTTTTATGTTGTAGTTCAGCCTCTGACCACTAGTTGGCAGCAGTGAGCCAGCCATTTGGCTCCTCTACCTCTTGAGGTAGAGGCTATTGTTAAGTGTTGGGTGACCATATTGTAAATTAATATTAAAAACTAAAAGCTGCAAAAATATATTTTCAAACTATTTATTGCCAAATTTAGTCTAATAATTGAAAACATGGATGAAATAAGAAATATGAAACAAATGAAATAAAATACATACAAAGCAGAACACAGCTAAATGTATCAAAAGTATGTCTATGTAATATTAGAATTTTCTGAGACAATGAATTTTGTTTTTTCTTTTTTTTCCCCTGTAAGAGGTTTTTATTTAATAGAATTTTTGGACAAAAAAATTGCAATATATCGCGATATATCGCTTTGCTTATAGTATCGCAATACGTTTATCGGGTTATATCGTATCATGACCCATCTGTCATGATATGTATCGTATCGTATCGCCAAATTCTTGCCAATACACAGCCCTACTAATAGATGTTGACTGGTTACAGTTAGGGTAATTTTAAATTGTAGTTTTTTACAGGAAAAAAATATACAGTTTGTCAACAGTCGAGAAAATAAAGGTTTTTAATTTTATTAGCAAAGATGCTATGATCTTAAAACTTTTAATGTATGTAGACAATTAAAAATTACAGAGAAATAGTTTTTCTCATTTATTGTAAAACTCAACATGAATTACCAAGTTTAATAATATTTAAAATGTCTGTTAGTTTTTAAATATTTCAAACATCGTGTTTTTGTTTGGGTTTGATGCTCTTTCACCAAAAAGAAAATCCTTCAACTCATTTGTAAAATTAAAATTCAGTCAACACTCATTGTGCCTAAATAAAACATTATGAAAGCTTAATTGATATGTTTTATCAAAAGAAACTATAAAAAGTCAAAAGTTTGAGGTGGTGTTAGTAGCATTGTAGCATCATTTTCATGATGTGAAAACAACTTTTGAAAAATATGTTTTCCTGGCAAAAAACACAAAATAGGGCTTCTTCCGAATCCACTCTTTTAAAATGTTTGTATATTTCTGTCGTTCACCAGGTGACGCTGGGTGGCACGCTAATAGGCATCGGCCGCAAAACCTCTGATTGCCAAGGGAACACTAAATACTTCCGCTGCAAGTTCTGCAACTTCACATACATGGGCAGCAACTCCTTGGAACTTGAACAACATTTCTTGTCCTCACATCCCAACAAAGTCAAAAGTCCACCGACCACCCCACTGCTGGCCGTCAACAACCTGGCGACGGCGCATGACAACCAGTTTAAGGGGAGGAGTCAGATCGCGGACGGGGCGGAGCGAGTGGCGATTCGAGCCGAGGACGACTCCTTGGTCGGGTACTTCATCCCAGTCAGGGGGTGCTCGGACTCACCGGGCTGGGCGGGGGAAGCGGGCCGAGGCGCGGCGGGGGGTTACTATTTGTGTAAGTTTTGTAGCTGGAGTTGTGAGTGGTCCGGGGGCTCGGTGAAGCTTTTGGAGCACTACGAACAAAGACACAGAGTGGGCGCAGGGGAAGCTATAAGCCCCAAAAACTTGACTCTTGTTAGAATGGACAGAGAGAGGGAAAAAGGGGGAAGAAAAGATGGAAGCGATAACATGGCATCCAAAGGACGTAAAGATCAGCTGTCCAGTCCTTTCACCACCAGCCAAGGTATACAAAATAAAAGAACAACGTGGCAACACGCGGTAATCACGATCTGCTTTATTTTCTAAAACCTTCCTCTTATCTGTTCCAGGAGACTCAAACAGCAGCGACTCTGAAGCAGTCGTGACCAGCTATAACTGTCAGTTGTGTGATTTCCGTTACTCGATGGCGCACAGCGCGGATGTGATCATCGTGGCTCCGTTGCTGCTGCACTACCAGCACAACCACTCCATCCACCGCTGCTGCATCCAGCACTGCGCGTACTGTCCTCAGGGGCTCTGCCAGCCACAGAAACACCTGGGGGAGGTAAGATGAATAAGTGAAATAATTCGTGTTCGTTCTCATTGTTGTTGATTTCCTGGCAATTAGTTGGGTGAAAATGCAATGCAATGTATGAACAGGTGTAAAGTTAATTGTTGCAGTTTCGTTCCTTGTTAGAATTCTCTTGCTTCCCAATCTACCCACGTACCCTCGCTGCCCTCCTTTATGCCAGCTGCTAAACAATGCCGTTGCAGCTGCTAAAAATGCAAAAAAAATAGGACGGTTAATGAGTTTTATTAATAATTCACATTAATTCCAGTTACTAACTTCCACCTGTTTTGATGTGCTTTCAAATTAGTAACCTGGGAGCCCTATTTCCACCAAAAACATCCAAACAGCTGTTTGACTAAACTCACGTCTGATTCGTCTCGGTAGGTGTCCCACCCGTTTGCTTGTCGGAGGTCTACCTGTCCTAAATGCTGCTCAAAGTTCCCTCAGCTCGCCAAACAGCAGGATGCCATCAGTTCCAAACCCGCCGCCTCCACCTCACCGTGCGCCACCCCTCCTAACCCAAGAGGTGACCCTGGTGTGATTTCTGCTTCAACCTTTCACCCCTCTAACCCAGCACATCCTGTTGTCACGCAAGGTAATTTAAAAGCACGGGTGCTGAAATGAATACCGTTTGCTTTTTTCTTTCTTCCATTTGAAACTTGTTGGTCGAAATCAAAGGTTTCAACTTGGTTCTATCAGTTTTTTTTCCTGCCGTTTTAGGAGTCACCCATTTGTGCGACCAGTGTGCGTTCGCCACCGCCGACATCGATGTGTTGCTGCAACACTACGAAAGCTGTCATACCCTGATCAACCTAAAGGGGGCGACCCCACAGGTCAAGTCTGAGGAGGAAGGTGGGGGAGACAAGGACGGCGGGAGAGGAGGAGCGGGAGAGAGGCAGCACTCCTGCACTAAGTGTAACTTTATCACCGAAGTGGAGGAAGAGCTTTTTAGACACTACAGGTGAGCAGGCAATCTGAAAAACACTTTTGAAGAAAGTCGTCTTTTTTTTTATTCATATATTTTTGATATCATATAGCAGAATCATGAAAATATAGAGAAGCTGAACCTTAAAGAAGGACGGATCGTTTGTTGAAGTAGAAAAGAGTAAGAAAAGAATAATGAAGGAGGGAAGAGAGACTGGAAAGACAGAGGTGAAGTGGGGGTTTTATAATCCAGTTGTCCCCTCGACAAAATCGTAGCTCTGAATCTTGGAGCTCAGATCAAATAAAAGTGAAATAAAGCTTGAAAGTTTCATACTGCCAGTGAAACCAATCAAAGCTAAAAGGATTCCAAAAAAAACCAACAAAACTTGGGATTTAATTATGGAGTGTTCAGAGCAAAGAATCATGGTGAAACGGGGAGAATAAAATCACCAACGATAAAAATCTCATCAATCTGTAATAACTCAAATATACTGAGTCTTTGCCCCTGGGCCGTTATTATAACTGAAAATTTGCGTCATATTTCCGTAGTGGTTGTCAATACCATACTGAAATATGAATAAACCTGTATGTACTGTTGGAAACATTTGTAATTTTATATTTGGTTGATGACATTCAGCTCAGTGGTTGCTAAAGATGGGGTTGGGACCCCACTGTGGGTTTTGGTACACCAATTGGGGAGTCATAAAATCAACAAACATTCAGTTAACATAGAAAATGATTTTTTTAACTGAGAAGACAATAAAAAGAAAATATATATTAATATTGGATTGTTAAATAGTCTATTTTTGAAAGGGCTTGTTGATGATCTTTGTATACTTTATCCAGCAGTATTTGTTTATCCAGCAGTAGTAGCTGGAAATAGTTTAACCAGCAGTAGTTGGGGGTCACAAATCTCTTTATTAATTTCCAGGTCAAAAATATTTTGTGAACCACTGCTGACCCCCAATGTTTGTTTTTGTGTCCCAAATTGAAACTCCAGTTTCAAATCTCAAAAACATACTTTAAATTAATGGGAGAAGGGGGAAAAAAGAAAAAAAAGCACAGATAACAAACAAGATTTTTTAAGATTTGTTTAAACCACAGTAAGCAGTCAGACCACTTTGATGTATTTACTTAGAGTTGTGATTTAATGTCAGTACTCGTGGGTAAAAAGGTTGGATTTGATAATACATGCAGAATGATTGTTTAAAGAGCTTAACAGTTTTAACATAAGGAAGGCCTTCAGTCTGTGTCCAGTAGGGGTGTAAGAAAATATCGATACACTGAAATATCACGATATTTCATTTCCCGATACTGTATCGATATTCTAAAGCCCTGTATCGATTTTTTATTAAGGTTTAAAATGTCAACTTTCCTGCCAGCCGTTCATTTTTATGTTGTAGTTCAGGCTCTGACCACTAGTTGGCAGCAGTGAGCTAGCCATTTGGCTACTCTACCTCTTGAGGTAGAGGCTATTGTTAAGTGTTGGGTGACCATATTGTAAATTGATATTAAAAACTAAAAGCTGCAAAAAATATATTTTCAAAGTATTTATTGTCAAATTTAGTCTTGGATGAAATAAGAAACATGAAACAAATAAAATAAAATACATACAAAGCAGAACACAGCTAAATGTATCAAAAGTATGTTTATGTAATATTAGAATTTTCTGAGACAATGAATTTTGGTTTTTCATTTTTTTCCCCGTAAGAGATTTTTATTTAATAGAATTTTTGGACAAAAGAAATCGCAATATATCGCCTTGCTTATAGTATCGTAATATATCGGGATAAATTGTATCGTGACCCCTCTGTCATGATATGTATCGTATCGCCAAATTCTTGCCAATACACAGCCCTAGTGTCCAGTATAGTGACAAACACAGACCATTTTTAATACAGTTAAACCTGTTAAATATGAGTATTTAAACCTCATTTTCCTGCTTCTGTTTTCATCAAAAATGATGCGTTCTCATCGTGAAGATATCCATCATTTTGAGCGTTTCAAGGTTTTACGTTCTTTTTTGTCTACACAGAGATTGGTAAACTATTTTTCTGCTCTCTGACATTTTTCCAGTACTTTATTGTATATCCTGCTGTTGTATAATCTTCACACTGCGGTGCATCAACGATAAAAAGCCATTGGTGAGAAAGAAGAAAATAAGAGCAGCAGACTTACTGCTGTTCACTGACATTTGAGTGAAAAAAAAGACGTGACTCATCTGGCAGAATTATAGCCTTGATGAGCAAACATGAGGTATTTTCAAACTAGCATGCTGTCAAAACATTTGGAAATCACTTTAAAAGTGAATTTCTATCACAGTCCATAAAGAAAGATAATTATATCACAGAGAAACAAACGTCTGCTGTTTTATTTTATGAAACACTTACGCAGGTTTGTATTTCTTATATGATTAAATATCAACAAGTTGCCCATCGTGGGCGCACCGAAGGCTCGAGCACACAACAGCCTTAGGTGTGTGTTCAAGATGGTTTGCTGATTTTGCTCGTTGGCCCACACAAGACATGCCAAAACAGTTTTCCTGAGCCAGGGTAAACTCTGATGTCTCGGTCTGGATGTATAGCCGGTCATTCAGGGCCCGGCCAACAGGAAATGAAGTTGGTTTGTTGATGGTTGATTCAGAACTTAACATTCAGGCTCATTTACCGTCTTTACCATTTTTCAGTAATTCATCGTGATTTAGTGGAACTCTTGAGTCACTTTTTGGCCACATGCTGCGTGTAACTCATACCTGAGTGGTTTGAGGAAATCAAGAGGTTTAATGCACTTTTGATTTATTGAGTTCCGGATGTGGTTTTTCTTTGTGCCATTATCAGTTTCAGTGTCAGGCTACAGGAAGGCTTTTTATGTTTTTAAATTCACAAATAAATATAAACTGATTCATGCCCTAAAAAGAAGTAAAACAATGTGCTTGAGACTTTAGTGTTGCTTTAGCCGTTGATCAAAATCTAAACATATTTGTTCAAAACCATGGCATTAACCATCTGAGTCAGCTGTCTTTGTTAGAAAAATATCTCATAAATCACTGATGGATTTCAGTAAAACTCAAAGTAAATATTGGTTGTATTATTACAACTAATTACCTTTTGGACTCAACCCAATTCAAGATGGCTGACTAAAAAGCCTTAGCCTACAGAAGAATAAATCCACTACAGTGAGTTTGTATTGTGGTTTGTTGTATTATATGAGATTTCATATGTTTTCCTCAAACTTTAGCCAAAATGTCTATAACATGAAAGGCAGTGGGTGAAATGCATTTCTTTAAGGAATGCAAGCCCTTTAATTGATATTAATGATGTTAAAAGTGCCACATCATTGTATATGTTTAAGAGAATGATAAAAATTAGATTATTAAAAAATATATGGAATATGTAGCTAGTTGTTCTAGAAAGATTTGATGTTTTGTTTTGTTAACTGAAGATTATTATAGTTAGAATTAATACTTGAGAAAAAAGGGGCAGACATAAGATTTTTCCTTCTCTCTGCCGCCTTTTATTTCATTTTATTTGTATTTTCTTTTTTTATTGTACATAGAATTTTGTTTTTATGGAATGAATGAAGTTTGAAATAAAAATTAAATAAAATAATTATGATTTCAGAGTATGATTCACTGGTTCCAGATTAGAATTAAACTTTCGTGCTTTGATGTTTTCTCTGCAGGCGTGTCCACGCATGTTGCCGTTGTCGACGCTGCGACTTCACGGCGCCCGATTCGTCGGCCCTCCTCGATCATTTCAATTCCGCCCACTGTCACGAGTCGTCTCCTGCCTTAGGGTCCCTGCCCACCTCGCTGACACCTTCACTAACTCTGTCTGCCAATGGCTGCTCAGCTCCCTCCACCTTAGCCATTAAAGAAGAGAGCAAAGGGGACTTTCGCCTCCTCTACTCCCTCGCCCCACCTGAGGGACGCTTGGCAGAAGGAGGCAGGGAGGAGGCAGGCGGGGTGGTGAAAAGCGAGGGAGCTGAGGAGAAAGAGCGGGAGAAGGGCTGGGTTCTCGGGGAGACGCGAGGACCGGGTGAAAGAGGAGGCGAGCAGGCCCACGGTTTACTCTGGGTGCCTAAGGAGCGAATGGGACCCGAACGAGGGGTGGAAAGAGGAGCAGGGGGCGGAAGCCCCTCTCTATTCCCTTCCCCGCTCCCGTTGTCTTTCGTTGCAGCCAATCACGAGGCCTCGCAGCAGAAAAGAGGGGTGGCTTCACCTAGCATGGTTTACCTGGGAGACACCAAGCCGTTTTTGGGAGATACCAAGTTGTTTTTGGGAGACGCCAAGCTGTACGGAGGAGGGCGAGCAGGGGGGGCTGCCACAGGAACAGGAGGAGGGGAGAAGCAGAGCCAGATTCACCCTCAACAGTTCGCAGGTGGAGGTGGAGGGAGTGGAGGAACACAGGAGGGGAAGGGAGGAGCCACAAAAGAGGAGTCCCAATCCCTGCTGAGGGTAAGTAGATTATGCACCTTTATTTTTCAATTAGTACATATTGATCTTCTTTTTGTGATGTCTCCTTGTATAGTGTGTCTCATTTTCTCACAGGCACATTCTTCTTTTAACTAAGACTCTCGCAATAAAGCCTCATTTCTGCACCAGATTCCACCTGCTGGGAACATTAAGTGTCAGAATGCCTCCATTAATGCGCTTCCATCTTCAAGTAATCATTCCTTAGAATCTAATGTGAGGATTAAACGTCATGTGGCGAACCTCTACCTGTTATTCTTTCATTAGATTTGCAGGGTTTATGCAAAATCCATGTCTCATTCTTTTTTTTTTTTTTAAAGATTAAAATGTAGCTCACAACACAGAGAAACTTTCCAGTCGGTATGGCAACGTGGGCGCAAACTTACCACCTGTCACTCCGTTCCCGCTTTGTGGACCATAATGCTTTTCGCTCCGCGGTGATGTCATGGACTGGCAGGAGCGGCTCGCGGTTCGCCAGCGCCGCAGACCTTATTTGCTCTGATCACATTAGATCAGAAAAGACTCTTGTGCGCTGGTGCCTGCGTGGTGTCGGGGCACGGACAGTGGCAGTATTGAGTGGATCTGATGTGTGTATACTCATACAAGTGCAATACTTGAGTCTATGGCTTCTTTGTACACGCTGTGGCGTGGCCTGTTGCAAATGGGTATGTGTGTGTGTGAGGTGTTGGCAGTAACTTGGCAGTCTGGGCAGGGTGGGGCAGAAAAAAAGGTTTACTCATTACTGTGGGTGGGGCTGTGTGTGTGTGTGTGTGTGTGTGTGTGTGTGTGTGTG